GGCTGGAGCAGCTCCCTTGCGAGGAGAGACTGAAATGGCTGAGTGAGGCTCCTCCATCTGGAGAAGAGAAAAGCAAAGCAGTGAGATGAGAGAGGTTTAAGAAATCATGAAAGCAGCGGACAAAGGGAATGCAGCAATGCTCTTCACCTGCAAATAGTGGAGCTAAGGGGAACTAGCTTAAACTGTTGGGGGGTTGATTTAAAACAGGCAGGAGAAGGTGGGTTGCAGCAGTGCTGCTTATGCTGTTTGCACCAGTGCAGGGAAGCATGGGCTGAAAATTAGCCGTCTAATCTGAGATGCTGTTAATTTTTTAAATTGTTTTTTCAGAACAGGCTGAGCATATGAAAAACGTCAAATTATCAGGCACAGGTCAGATGCTTGGAAGAATGCACTTCTGGGAATTTGCAGCCAGAAGATTTAGTGATATTTGAAAGCTTAAGTATGTAGAGTGGAAATATTTACAACTCCGCTATCAAAGAGAAAAATGTACAAAAGCAATGAATCCTATCTTCCAGGACATTCCTAAGTCGTCCCATCTTCCCAGTCATTCACTGGGACTCAGTGGCGGAGGGGGGGAGGACTGGGAGGGAGATAGATGCTCCTAGTGAAGATATGCTAAGTTCCAAAAAAGCTCATCAGTGAGGTACTGGAGTTCTGGGGGTTCCCCTCTGCCCCCCATCTCGCTGAAGCCCCGCAGTGCTGTACAGCTGGTTTGCACTCTGAGCCGTTGGCGTCGGGCTCCGTCTCCGTTCTGAGGTCTGCGCCGGGCTGGTGTTGGTTTGTCGCTTCTCCCACGCTGTACGTTTCATTATGCGCAGCAAGAGAAGCATTGGAAGGTGGAGGTTTGTGGATGTGGTTTCCCTGTGACAAAGCCGGTAAAACCAGCTTTGCATGTAAGGATATGTCTCCTTAAAGGGTTTTCATTTCTGTGCTGAAATATTTTGATTAAACGATGCAAAACTCGCTGTGGCGGGCTGTGTGCTTGCTTTTGGCATGTGTGCTCAGGCAAGAGCCACACCTGTGGTCCTTTGAGATATAAAAGAAGCGAGGCCAACGTTTTCTGAGGACTGATGTGTCCTGCAGTTTTTGGTCACAGCTAGTGGAGGGGCTAATGATGAAGGGATGCGAAGGCGAGAGATGGATTCCATAATACTGGCTTGCTTACCTCATTCTCCAGCGGAATTTTTACCTGCTATTTTCACCTGCAAAATTGCACAGCCAGTTTTGAGTACGGTACTACAGGTGTGATGCACAGCTGCAGAACATGGCGGGTGCTTCTGTCTCTGTGTGCCCTTCGCCCTGCGCTGCTCCCCTGGGGTGTGCTTGGAGAATGATGGGGGACCACTGGGGTGGGAAAGTGTGTAGGGGTCTCTTGTCTGGTTGTGGGGACCTGCCTGTCTTCATCTCTCCCCACTAAGGAAACAAAAGCATTTGGATATTCAGGGAGTGAAGGGGGACCTAAAGAAACTGTTTTGTCGCTCTCAATGAACTTTTAAAATGTTCTGTGGTAAACAGCTTGCATGGACCGTTTAAATGCAAAAAGGTAACTGAGAATTTATTTTGAACTTTCTAGGGCATTGCTGTAAAAATA